TTTAAAAGATATACTTTATATATACAAAACGGAGAAACGATAGCTCAATTACTATAATTGATATCGATTACGTTGTCTGTATATCCGTACAACGTTTTACTTATCATCATGTGTTACTTATTAATTATAGTATTTTATGTAATTTTATGTATATAATGTATTGTGTGTCATGTATGACGAATTTTAAATAAGAGAGACAAATGATTTTGATGATGATTGATGATGATGGTGATGATGGGTCCACTATCTGCAACAATAAAAATATCATCATTATTATTTTATAATTTAACTGTTGTTGTTTTACAAATTAAATATTATTATTAATTGTATGGAGGGAGAGAGGAGTTAAAAAAACGGGGTTATAATTAATTTTTTGGAAAAGAATTCAATTTTCAAAATTAATTTTTTTAATTGTAACAGCCTTATACTCCACTCCACATGAGTAAAATTCACTAAAAACCACGCACGTTCCACTTTTAACACGCCCCTAACATATTTTTCAACATACCCTTCCTGTGATCACCCTATTTTAAATTCTACTTGTATATAAATATATAATATAAACATAGCTTGCTGCACAATCAAAATTTTATTTTTTTTAAAAAAAAAAAAAAAAAAAATTAATATTATTTCTTGATAAATAATAACTTTTTTTTCTAAAATAACTAAAAATAAATAAACCGTTTTTTTTTCAAAAAAAAAAATTATTATTATTATATAATTATTATTTAATAATATTTTTTACCCCAGACTGTTTATTGACGTTTTTTGTGTTGCAATAATAATAATCAAACAATAAACTTGATATCTTCCAAGTTTTTTATTATTATGTAAATTAAAATGATTAATTTCCTTTATTATCCATTTATAAAGATATAAATAACTTTAGGGCTTTATATATAAAAGTATGCCCCTAAATAATAATTAAATGTCACTCTTACCAATAGAATTACAAAAACATAAAAATACCCAAGAATGATAAAGAAAGATTCCTTAATAAGCTTATTTCTTTATTTTTTTTTTCGGTGTTGTTCGAATCGATGTTTTATCAATCAACTTGAGAAAATTGAAGAAAAACGAATAAAAACGCTTCTTTCTCTTAACATTCTGTAAACAAAACCCTCGACTACTACCACATATACCTACCTGCCTGCTTTTTGATTAATTTACTAAAACTAGGAAATTGTACGCAAATCACACTTTCGTATATCTCTTAATTAATACTTATTATTATTCTAAAAATTGCTTTGATTTTTTCAACATTACATAGATATTGATACAATGGCGATAGAGCTTTATTGTTTTTTCTTGCATGAGCATGGCAATCTATAACAATTATGTAATAGGAAGGAGATGAGTATATCCTCATATAAATAAACGAATGTTCAATAATTCGAATTTGCTTTTTTAGACAAATATAAAGCTTTTACTTGCGAGTTAAAGCACTCACCCTATCACAACCATCATTCGGGAGCTCTGTTAGCATTAATTTCTTATTCTACAACATTGGTTCCATTATCTTTGTTAGGAAAATATTGTAACCTTCCACGCTTTTTTTTTTATTAAATGCAGAAAAATGCATAAACTTTTTAATATTCTCTCAACTTAATAAGTTTACATGGGAACATTTTCTTCATTTTCACTTTCTCGTTTAAAAGTTGTTGGCAATTTCATTTCTCCAATTAGTTACATAGCTCTTATCGTAAAAATATTTTAAGAAAAGAGTGTTAGTCACCCGCCAGGCTTACCCAATATTAAAAACAGAAAAAGGATCAATAACAAGATGCGGAAATAAATTATTATGTGATTAAGGAAAGATACGCGCTAAATATATTAATATTGTTAGTAAAAAAAAAAATTGTCAATGACGGAAAAACTCCAATATTAATAAGTGTTACACAAATAAAATGAATACCAAAGATTCCTCAAGAATTATATGATAATTTCTCAACCTGACTATCTACCCAATCCCAGTTAAATCATGAATATATACCTTGTTGTTGCTTTCAATGCTTGCTTTCGTCCCACGAAAGATATTTTCCAATAAGATTTTAAACGTATGTATATATATATATATATATCTTTTATTCTGGTTTAACATGTTGCAAACAAATAAAGCACATACATATATATATATATATATATATAGTAATAGCAATACATTTATGCAAATTAAAAATATAATAACAAACATTATTTTTTATAGCTTCAAACATACTTGAATCGTACGTAATCTTCTCAAAGATCGTTTAGATCAAACACTTCCAAGGCTACTCCAATCTTTAATGCATGATTCGATTCCCCATATGATTTTTCTTGATAACCTTTGTATCCGTACAAAATTTGTAAATTGCAATAGACATGTCGATCGCGTGAAATGTCCAGAATGTTTCTTGCGGAAAACAATTTTCAAAGAAAACGTTATTTTGAAATATTTACATGATAACTTTTTCTACATGTCATAATCACAACCTTTTATCATCTTCCTAAAGAGCATATAACACAAGAACTAGTGATTCAATTTTAAAATCTCTCTATTAAATGAAACTTCAAAGGTAAAGCAGCAAACTAATAGAGATCTTTTCCATAATTTTTATTTATTTGGGTCACAAGCAGTGTTGAGTTGATAGTGAAGTTAAAAACACTATTAATAAAACGAAAGTAATTTATACAGTCAAACTAGAGGCCTGCATGGATAACAATAATTGAACCCATATCAAACCCCGTTTCTCAACTCATACTACTACCCAAAAAAAATTCCAATCCCGAAATTTACTCATATCTTTTTTTATTTAAAAAAAATAACAGAACAATATTCAAATATCATTTAAAAAAATTTTTAATCAAGAATTATTATTGAGAGCATTACATAAAACAAGAATACCATCAACTGTTTCTGTATTTAAATTTGATTGATCTTGATGAGTTTTATACCATTATAAAATGTTTAAATTCAATTCCTTTTGTACTTTTTGAAGGCAAATGTTTATCCTGAATCCTAAAATCTGTTAAATCAACATTAAAAAATTTTTTAATAAGTCTTGCATGAATTTCTTTATGTAAACTAACACCATATTATTTTTATCATTAGCAAATTGAGATGACAGGATATTATACTGGTGCCTTATTTCATTTTTTACCATTCAGCATCATAAGATTCTAAAATTTTGACTGCCTGTATTATAATATATTTTTTTTTGGTATATATAGAAAATTTTTTAATTTTTTCAGGTTGACGAATCCAGCCTAAGCATGTTAGTCGAAATTCTCTCTTAATAATGAATCCGAAATGCCAAAATAGTTTTTCATAGTTACCAAAATCAACTTCATTAGTTGTCGAAATTGTATCTGAAATTATTTGAACACTTTAACTCAATAGCCAAAATTCTGGTAGTTTTTTTATGTCTATTGATATATAAAGAATATTGTAATTGCTTGCCGAAATTGATTTTTTCAAAAACCATTTCGGCCAACATCCTTAATCCAGCCCGTTGCAGGCCTCTAAATCAAACCCTTGTTTCAACTAACTCACTAATTGAATAACAACAGATTCACGTGATTTAAACCAATAAAATATATAATGCGACAACAAAATCTAAAATCAATTTAATCAATCTATAAAAAATAGAGTTTTTAACTTTTTAAATTAAAGAAATATTCCAGAAATATTATTTTCCTATTTTATCAAAAATTTTGATTTGTTTTTTGATTATTTTTATTACTTTAACAAATTTTATTATAAATAAGACCAGTGTTGTTATTGGACACAGATGCAGACTATCTATCTGTGTTTGGTGGCAACATTGTATGAGAATAGTTGAAGACAAGATTGAAGCAAAGTTGGGAGAAGTAGATTATAAGAAGAACGTGTTAATGAAAACCATATACATTGTTTTTATATTTGTACTTATCATCAACCATGATCTACAGGAACAATAAATTATGATTGTATGTGCGTTCCAGCAAGACTCAATTGCTAATTTTATTAAGAAATTGCAACAAGTATTATCTAAAATCTCAACTTTAGTTGCAGATATTATTGTTAGAAGTTGGAATGGTTATGTGAAGGGTTTTAATGGAATTTGTTGGTTTGATCCTATAAAAAATTTTTTTTATATTTAGAATTGATAATGAAATTGTTAGATATTACATGTAATAATTATTCCACAGGGAACTGTGGAATAACTGATTTATACCGTGTAGATTGAAAAGGTTTATTTTATTATTTATTTTTTATGTAATAAAAATTTTTTACAGCACTTTCATTCTTTCCCAATTTATTCCTTTTGAAATTTTTCAACCTATTTTTACTAGTACAAGTACCCTTTACCTTACCTCAAATTGGAATGGTTGGTTCTATTTCTCTGAGATACTTCAATATCAATCTATTCATTCTACACAAACACCATTTGAAATTCAAGATAATCTTAATTTTTATCGTGAAAAAGCTCTATATAGTAAACAACATCTTGTTACTATGAAGACTTTAACTCATGCTATAGAATATCATAATCTTCGATCATTGCAGATTCAACAAGTATAACATAAATACTATCAATGCCACGTTTAATGATAGCTCCTCAATTAATTACGATTAGTTGCAACTAATTACGGAATATAAAAATTGCGGTTCCCATATTTAGCTACGTCTGAATTTCATTAATATCAATACTTGGAATAATGATTTGCATCTGTCAAATGCGTTATTTTACGAGTTTCAAAATATGCGACCATTAGTAAACATAGTAATAGTGTTTTATTGCAAGAGAACTATGTTTACGAAAATATTCTAGTGATGTGAGCCGTTTAAAATCCCTAGCCGGCTAAGCCGTTTACTACCTAAATTGATAATTTTATTGATAACTAGAACATTAAATATAATATATAGAATTGTGCATGCATATTATATCCATTTTATTATATAGTTATTTGCAAATTTTAAAATTTATTCAACATATTATATTATTGAACAATAAATATTTATTTTTATTATTGAACAATAAATAACTATATTATTGGTTGTAATTAATAGATTTATTTTAAATTGATGTTATGAATGTGTATATAGTAATTAAATTGTTGTTATGTTGAAATATTTGTGTGAGCAAGTCGTATATGTTGAAAAGCTACAGAGCACGTCACATTGATCTATAATACGAATTATGAAAGACATAAGGATAAAGAGAAAACAAACTATCTAGTTCATAATAAAACACTACAAAGTACTTATAAAAATATTTCAATGATACGTTTCTAATCATATATATACTATACAGTGTGTGCGAATAAAAAACATTAGAATATCAGATAGAACAAACCAACGTTATTGTAAATATGATGTATTGTATATAATTCTCTCACAACCGATCAGTGAAAGTTATGCAATATTTTTGTCATGTGTGTGCAGATAAATAAATGGTCCTGAGGATAAATTATTTTATTTAAAGACTCAACCTTAATATAACGATTTCCCAGGTGATTTATAGAAAAATAATATTTTTTTATATTTATATTTTTTAAATAATCAACAACAAAAAAAATTAATATTAATAAAATATAAATAAATTATATGAAAAAGGAAAATATATTAATGATAATTAATGATGGTATAATAATAAAAATCTACAAAAAAATACTTTTTTAAAATGAAAACTTTGTTCATTTTTTTTTTCTATAAATTATAAAAATGATTATAATAAAAGTGATGATTAAAAATGATTAAAAAAAAGTTTATGTATGTATATTAAAATATATACATATCGAAGATTTACAAAAATAATATTAATAAAATAAAATAATAATAAAATTCATTAATTAGCATCAATATTTTTAAAAAAATTTGAAAAATAATAATATAAAATAATATATATATTCTATTGTTTTTTCTCGGTTGTAAAATAAATTAATTAACAAAAAAAATATACAAACACTAATATTTTTTCTCCAAGTTATTACTAAAAAAAAATTTATAATAATAATTAATCTGAATTTAACAAATTATAAAACCAGAAGAAAAACAATCAATAAAATTAATACTATTTATAAAACACAAATAAATATTTCATTCTATTGTTCGCTTCTTTTTCTTTGTTAATTAATTATGAATCTTAATTTTAATTGATAAATTGATAGAGATTTTTGTTGTTGATAATATGGATTATAATAATAATTAATATAATAATGATTATATAATAGTTGTCGTTGATGGTTTATATTATTCATTAATTATTTCAAATCATTGATTTTTACCACCAACTTTGTTTGTTATTAAATCCATTCGTTGCCGATCCATAACCACCACTGCTTCCACCTCCACCTGTACCATAACCACCTGTTCCACTACCGCTATATGCTCCATATCCACCATAATAAATGCTATTTTAAAATGAATCATTTAATTAATTGTTTGTTCAAAAAATAAAAATGAATATATTGAATCAATTTATTTTGATTCACTTACTCATTTGCACCAGAACTACTTCCATAAGTTCCTCGCTCACTGCTACTACCAGTAAACTTTCTATAATCTCTATTTTGTCCACCACCACCTCTACCACGTCCACGAGTGCTGCGAGTGCCACTATAAGATTGTACTTCTCTTGCTACAGTCTCCAACCATCCAGGAATTTCTTGATTTGCCTCTCTCAACAACTCAATTAAATCTTTTACTATTCCCTTATTACTCCGATTGAAAAATGCCGTTGATAATCCAACATTACCGGCACGTCCTGTACGTCCAATTCTATGTACATAATCGTCAATATCTGTTGGAAGGTCATAATTGATGACATGTGTGACATTAGGAATATCTAGTCCACGGGCTGCCACTGCGGTTGCTACCATAATAGGTGTACGTCCAGATCTGAATGAATCCAATGCTCTCTCTCGCTCACGTTGTGATCTATCACCATGAATAGATGTTGCTGGATAGCCTGCCTGAATCAAATAGTCTGATAGCATGTCTGCCATACGTTTTGTCTCAACAAAAATCAACGTTAGACCACCTTGTTCAACTCCTGGTTGTGAATGAAGTATATCCAACAAAATTGATCGTTTATCATCATCCTCTACATACTCTATCTTCTGTGTTATATTCTCACTAGTACTTCCAACTCTTCCAACACTTAAAAATACATAGTCCTTTAAAAAGTCTCGTGCAAGTATTTGAATGTCACGTGGAAATGTTGCACTAAACATAAGTGTTTGTCGTCCATCCACTCCGGGCATGTCTAAAAAATTTATAAAGTTTATTTATGATTTTGGGAAAAACCATGTACAAAAAAAAAATTATCTTTACCTTCATGTTCAACAATACGTCTAATTTGGGGTTCAAAACCCATATCTAACATACGATCAGCTTCATCAAGCACCAAGTATCGAATATTTGATAAACTAACACGGCCACGTTCGATCAAGTCAACAAGACGACCAGGTGTAGCAGTCAACAAATCACAACCTTTATCAACAGTTCTCAACTGACTGGATATGTCAGCTCCACCATAAACAACACAAGGATGAACCCATGAACGATATGCAAATTTTCTTGCTTCTTCGTAAATTTGTGATGCCAATTCTCTGGTCGGTGCAAGAATCAATGCTACAGGATAGGCTTTTCGGCTACGAGACATTCCACGAGTATAGCCAGTTGGTTCTGGTGGAGGAGTTGGTGGTCCATGCTTGAATAATTCTGACAAGATCGGAAATAAAAACCCACCTGTTTTACCAGATCCGGTTTGAGCACATGCCATTAAATCTCTACCTGCTGTTACAATAGGTATAGAATATTTTTGTACTGGTGTTGGTGTATTATAACGTGCAAGATCAATATTAGCAAGTAAATGTGTATCTAATGGTGGACTAGTAAACTAAACAAGTAGAATAGATCAATGAATTAATATCGATAAAGGTTTACATTAGCGAGTATAGCTTAGGTATAAGTTAATACAAAAAAAAATCAAATTCACCTGCGTTACGGAGTCGGGTACATTGTTACCGCTAGCTTCAACAGGAATATCATCATATTTTTCAAAATTGATACCAGTATGTTGACGATCTAAGTCACCAGCATTACCAAAAAGATCCCTTTCTAATTTTTGATTTTTTGGAGCAATAGTATGTGCACCTTCATGCCAACTACCATAACCATCATTATCGCGTCTATTATAAAAATCGTCAGCAGCAAAATTACCACCACGATGATTGTTACGACCAGCACCTCCACTATTGCTGCCAGTATTTCTATAACCCGAATTCCAATTTTCACCTTGTGATGATGCGCGATCATTCCAACCACCACGACTTGATGATGAATATCCCATTTCACTACGACTACCACCCCAAGCATCTGGTCTAGGAAAAGATGTCTGGCGAGTATCCCAATTTACTGCTGGAGCTGCACTATTGTTGTTATATTAAAAATTAAAAATATTAATTATTAATGTAATATATTTGTTATCATTTAAAATATTATTAGATAAAGGTCTGATAATACGTATATAATCAATATATGTATCATTATTAACAAAACATTGCAAAAATAAAAATATTCCTCTGATAGTCCGTTTACCAATAAATAAACAAATTCAAACCTTTCATTTCTTGTGTGCCATCCGTTATTAGAACGACGAGGTTGAAGTGGTGGTACTAATTCATCAGACTCATTATTATAATAGTTGTTATTGACGTCATTATTATTATAATAACTATTATTATTATCTGGTGGTGTTGTAGTAATAGTTGCAATATTTCTATAATTTGAAGAAGCGGGTGTTGTTGATGATATAGTTATTCGTTCTTGAGAAGCAGAAGATGTATTAATAATTGTAGTTGTTGTATTATCATTAGTAGTATCAATATTATTAGCGGATTTATTTCTCATATGAGGAGGAACATATCGACCAGCGGTAGGCTTCCCCTTGATGCCCAAATTAGCTATTATAACGATGAGTAAATAAATTTTAAAGAAGGTAAAGATAGATAGATCCATGTAAGAAATAAATATATAAATAATAATATTTTTTTCCTTTAAAAAATACATGTATAGATTTGCAAAATAATTAAAATCTAATAATAATAACAACAAAACACATACCAAATTGCTCGTCTAGGCGTGAATCATTTGAATTGCCATTGTTCATAATTGAAATGTAAAAATTTTAAAATATGGGTTGCAAATGAAAAAAAAAACAAAATTTAATTATAGATTGAGATTTTTTGTGTATTTATGTTTATATAGTTAGTATTAGGTTAATAGATGAAAAATGTCGAGGAAAAATTTTTTTTTAAAAAAGTTTATTTTATTTATTATATATATAAAGCCACTATTGTATTTATTAAGGAAAAAAAAAATTTTTTTTTCGGTCAGATTGATTTATAATCTTTGTTTTCAGTCAATTTAACTTTTAACTTTGGCGTTAAATTATGACTACGCATAAAAAATCAAAAAAAAATACTTATTGTGTGAAATAATAATAATAACTTATTCTATTCACGATACATGGAAAAGAAATCATGCAAAAATTTTCCGTTAAATTTAAATTTAATGTTACACTTCAAATAAATAAATTTATTTCATTTTCCAAAGATATATCGATATTATCTATATATGTGATTAATATTATATGAAGTATTAGTTAATTAATTATTTAATAAACATGGTTGACTCATTGATTACCGTATTTCTCAATGATTGATATTAATTGATATCAAAACTGAAATATTGAAAATTACAATTTTTTTTGCTTTTCTTGTATGAAGTAAATAGTAATATTTATTTATTAATAAATATCTAGATATAATAATAAAAAACAATTATTTATGGTCAAGTATGTGACACGAAATTACATCATCGCCATTTTTATTTTTTACCTTTTCTAGCAGGAAGAAAAAAAAAGAGAATAATGAATTGCGTTTAAACTACTATGGAATTAAGACAAAAAGATCTTACTTATGGAGGTAGAAAAATCCATACATATAAAGTTCTATTGAAATGTATTATTTGTGAATGGCATTTTGAATTGAATTTAACACAATTTTTTCACATTCCACATTAGAAAATGCAAGTAGTGATTCAGCAAGAAAGCTTTCAAAGAAACTCACTCTTATCTTACAAGGATTACTAAAATTGTGTGATCAGTGAATAATGCTTTGAATTTAAAAGTCAAAAATTTGATTTGATAGATTTTCAAGAAATATATTATCAACTATTTCAATCAATCAATCAATCAAGAAACATTCTACACATTAGATCCATCTAATGAAGTGATTTGATTGCACATTAAAAATTTAAAATGTTATAATTTGTACTAAATGATAATAGTAATGATAATGATCAATAATAAACAATAATAATAATTACACAATTAAGTTTCTTTTTCTACAAGTAAAATTTGAATCAAAATCTACAATTGAAGCAGCTCCAACAAGAGCAAAACATTGTTTAGTTCGGTTACATACAAGATAGTAACTTAGTACCTTAATAACTTGTATTATAAATGTACAGTATAACCTCGTCACAACAAGTGGCTGGATGTATAAGAAAATTTCATTTAAAATTACAATTTTTATGATATACACACATCATAACAGTAAGAAATTTCTTGATTTCCAAAGTATTGACTGGTATACATTAATTAGTACTATTAAAAACCTCTTATCATCATGACTCATTGAGAATATATAATATATACTGCCACCTTTGTTGTTTTTAACAAACCACAAATAATTATGACCATGAGAAAAATAAAGTATGTCAATCTTTTGTTGGAAAAAGATGTTTGTTATTATATGGGCATACTACAGCAAAACCAGACAAGTGAACATTGATATTATCAAGAATTTCAGGGATCAAAAATTTAGTTATTCTTAAGTGATATATAGAATTACTCCTATATAAAAAATAATAATATGAAACTCATCTATGGAGTCCAAAAATTATAGTACAACCAGAAGTATTTTGAAAAGGGAACAAGGAGAGAAAATTGGCCCTTATATTTTCAAAATAAATGATACTCGGACACTGGAAGTTTATCTAAGGAATGAAAGGATTGTCTATGAAATTTACCAAGAAAGAAAAAATCATAACTTTTAAAAGAACTTTGCCACAAAATTGTGAAGAATTTAGAAAGAAAAAGAAAATTGGAAGGGAAATAATTTACTACCTACTTATAGATGAGCATGCATTTATTTATTATCTTTTAAAATTAAAGAATTTAAAAAAAGAATTAGTGTGGGTTGGTTTGACTTGCTTAGATTTTACTTCAATTATTTGTTCTTGTTTCTTTTAAGTGAATTTTCTCATCTTTTTTTGTAAGCTGTAGTAGTTTATTCTTTTTCCTTGGTAATGCTGATAAAGATTTGTTGGCTAAATGTGGTTCTTGTTTTAGTTGCTGAATTGCTTGGGCTTGTCAACTTATCTCTTGATTCTTAACTGTCCTTAATTGCTCTAATGTAAATGTTCAAATAATTATCACAATTATTTACAAACGTTTAGATATTTATTTAACACTGTTAATGAACTGATAATTTTATTGTTGTAAAATTATATAAAAGTTATCTTTATTTGTTTAAAATTTACATCTTTAAATAATAAAAATCCAATTCTTAAAATACAAATATAAATCATAAAGAAATAAAGAAATAAATAATCTATATATTGTATGGAAGCTTATAGACTTCCCGGAAAGTATTGATCATAATTAAAGATAACTTCTTGATTATAAATAATATAAATAAAATAATAATATGATTATATTCCCATAATATAACATAACAATATAATATTCACATTCCTTAATAAAAATAATAATGACAATAATAATAATAAAACTTGAAATATTACCTTTTTAAGCTGTTTAAAATCATTTGGGTCAGTTGGCATTTTTGTAACGTCATGAAAAATTAATTCTATTGTTGATGTGCAATAATAAATTGAGGTAGTTCCATTTGTTGAATTTCTTTCTAAGCCTCCAAGATATCCGGGATGTGTTGCAAGATCAATTTCCCAACCAAGACTAGATACAAAATCATCATAATTTAAGCTACCTTTCGTATTACGCAATATACTTTGCTCATCCTCTTGACCAGGCCCAACATACAAAAGTGCGACTTTTATGACTTCACGAGGATGTTTTTTATCCAACAGCCTCATATCTCTAAATAATCCAGGCGCTTTATTTAATAAAGAAATGGTGCCTTCTTTTAGAGCCTCCGGACTTAACCATCCAAAATGACTTAAAAACAAACGTGATTGTTGATATGGCTCCAATGGTTTTTCAGCATAATTAGGTAAAACTGGAAGAAAAGATTTAGATAATGAAAAATCGGCTCCAAGGCTAAGATATGAAGTAGATCTTTTGTATAATGGATTCCTAGATAGTCTTTTAATAATTTTGTTATTTTCGTACTGTTGGAAAATACTGTTTCTTAATGCTGTTACATTTTCATACCATAATCGACTTTTTCCCCAAAAAAAATTTTTTTTTATAATATTATTATTATCAGAAAAAAAAAATACGCAATTTTCAAAAAATCAAATGAAATATTTAATAAATAATTAAAAATCGCTTACGCTTGAGAATCAGTGGCGTTTCCATATAGTGATTCTTCATGGATATGCCTATTAAGTTGATCTTCTATTTTAATCATTTTTTTTCTTTCAGTTTCTGATGGTAATTTTTGTGACTCTCCATTAGTTTTTTCTATTGTTGGTAAATGTGGAACTTGTTCACCAACGCTTTTCCCAAAATTATATTTATTTGGGTTAATAAAAATTTATAAATAAAAAAATAGTAATCAAAAATAAAAAATCCTTACTATTGTAATAAACA